ATATATATATATATATATATATATATATATAATACTATATGTATATATATATATATAAAATAATCCTTAAAAATAGTTATGCCATTCAAGAAATACTTGTTAACTTGAAGCATGACTCCATGGGACAATTGGTTGTCTAGTGAACTGCATGTGACCTAATATGATCTAATTAAATACAGTAATTAATTAAATAAACCAATGTTGTTGTGTTAGTGCATTTGATTATGCCCCACTTCGGACACATCCATCTGGATTGTACGATTAGAATAATTCGCTCTGCGCAGAGCCACCGTCCCTGTGGTCTCAGCTTTCCCCCAATGGGGGCAAAACCCGTGCTTTACGGGTAATGCTGAACCGGACAGCCAATCAAGTATGGATAAAACTAATAGTATTTTAAAAGTATGATTAAACTCCTTTGGTTTTAACTTTTAGAAAACATGTCTATATTTAATTAAATTCCATTTAAACTTGTTAATATTGCTTTACTTAGCAACATATCAAGAAATATGAAGAAATTTAAAATTGTTTTTTAAATGGAACAGAACTTATTATTTAAAACAAACAAGTATTTTAAAATAAAAGTAGTACACCCAAATAAATATAGAAAAAAGCAATAGTAAAAATAGAAAATTATTTATTTTTTGTTAGTTTCTATTAAAATATTAAAAAACAAAACAAAACAATGTGATAACTTTATAATTAAAAATAAACATATTTCCTGAAATGAAATGATCTCTAAATTTTTGTCATACTCATTCAAACATATGAATTAATTGAAATGTGAATATTTTTTTTTTCATATTTCTCCAACTATTTTATTATTATTGGATAAATTTTCATTCTACTGACCAATAAAGAACGAATCTAAATTATTTAATGAGATCAACATGAGATTTTATCGAATAATAAATCTGGGTATAACAAAACTAGTAAATAGATTAGGTAAAAGATAAATTAATTATTAGTTGAAAGCTAAAAAATTCATTCATTAAACTTTTAAAAACTTAACAAACAATTATTTTAAAATATCTAATTAGTTTAAAACCATATAAATATATATTTAATTACTTAATCTTAATATAAATATTAATAGCTAGCTTAAACTGCGACAAACTTCTAAAATAAGTTAATTTTATCAAATAAAGTTATTTCGGTTAAATAAGTGTTTAAGTTCATTGATTAAGTTAGCAGCTACTTTAAGACACTACTATGAGCTAAATTGTACTTAAAAAAATATATAGTATTTAAATTAGGAAAAATATTTTTTTACACAAGTATAAATTTAAAAATTCTTACACTTAATCTAAGTCTTTTATTTAACTTAAATTTAACGGGTTATAATTTATTACTTCACTAGCCATTAGATTTAAGTTAAATGAAAGATTCATTTTAGGTATAAGAGTTTTTAGACTTATACCGGTATAAGAAAATCTTGTTCTTTTAATTTATTCATTTTCAGTAATAGTACAATGTAAATTAGAAGCAAATTATTCGATTAAACAGATAATATAACGAGTAACTAACTATTTAATATCAACATGGGAATGACCAGCAACTACAATGACAAGAACTTTCTATTTTCCTCTCTTTAGGATACATCCTTAAGATATGTGAAATCTCTACCAAAAATATCGTCTTGTTAGGCTAAGATGCTCTAAGAGAGTGGTGAATGATTCCCACGTTTGCCAGTTCCTATTATACCAAAATTCAGCCCAGATCACCCATTTATGCAGTTTTGAGTTAGCTCCTCTGAACATACATTTTGATACCCTAAACAAGGTCCTGTCCTTCCACATTTTCCGGTGTCTCTTGCATACTTCATAGTCTTGCATTGAAGCTGCCATCTTCTCAACTTGAGTTTTATCAAAACTACCACATAATTAATGAGAAAATGTACATATTTTGAGGCAAAACATATATCTGCTAGAGTTGTAGGATTTATCTGGTTTATAAAAACGTAAATATTGGTGTATTTATCAGTTTACAATTGTAGGATAAATTAATGTTACAATTATGTTTTTTTCAGCCCATTAAATGCTTACACACCAATTCCGATATAGAAACTCCATACTAATCAAAAGTTGCTCAAAAATAGTGCAGAGCGATAGATGGATCAGAGAATGCTATTCGTCGGTCCATTTACAATCTTTCAGCCACCTTATTATTCATTAATGATTACACTCCTAAACTAACTATATCCACCAGTCTCCCAACGACTATGAAATAATATATTATCATCATCTTGGGGATGCAAATATTGGGACTACATATCACAGTATTCCAAAAATAGCTGTTAAGATATGTACGAGAGCAAATAACACAGGTGGCATATATCATAGATGTAATTCAAGTGATACCAATTGTATAAGGGCTGATTGGATTTAGATCCTTGCATATTTTTTAATAATATGATATGATCATATTAAAGAGACAAATATATAATTTTTATCAAATTTAATTAGTGGGTCATATAATCAATCATGATAATTAACATGATCGTATCATATTAGTTAATAACATGAGAAGTTCTAAATTAAGGATTGATTAGTTTTGTATCGCTGTTTTGAAAGGCTTCCTGCTACTGATTTGCGCAGATTTTACTTTGTAAGGAAAGAGTGCTCTTCTCCAGACCACAGTTCGTGATATCTACAGTTCTAAAGGCAAGGTAGGCATAATGTTAAACTAAAACTGTATAAATGTAAACCACGTTTAAATCAAAGGTTTGTTTGCATAAACGAAGCAAATGGTGTTATAACATTAGCAATGTGTAGCAAGAGATCGGCGAGTGTATTGTTTATTATTGACAGAATATGTAGTTTAAGTATTTATGATGCTTTGTTATGCTCTGTGTAGTTCAAAAAATCCAGTAACTTGGTAACTTTAAGCAGTTAAATCCAGTTGGGGCTGATTTATTTATTCCTTCGGGAACAGATATTTAAGAGGGAAAAAAAAAAAAACCGTAATACTTGTACTTATGAATATCTGTAAATTTACTTAATTTTTTTTATCTGCTCATTTGTAAAGATATAATCGAGTATTAAGGTACCCGTATATATAAAATTATTAAAACATCTCAATGTATAAATAAATGTGTTTCTAACTTTATTATTTTATGATAATTTTGATATATCCTTAAGTATTTTACTTTCCTTCTAATTATAATTTTATATATAAATTACTTAAAAAATATATTATTTTAGAAAAGTTATATTCTTAATAAATATTCTTAAATACCTGCGAATGATAAAAAAAAATTGTTTAAAACCTGCTTAACGAACCACATGAGTATGGCGCAAAACTGTACTCACTGATACAATGGCAAGTTTCTATTACTTGTGCCCGTTGACATCCTTATTCATAGGTCATTGTTATTATGTTCCGAACGTCCGAACGTCTCTACCTTTTGTTTTTAACCTTTTTTTTTTTCAAAATTTTTATATTTCATATGGGTGACTAAGTAGATATATATATATATATATATATATATATATATTATTTCTCTTTTTATCTATGTAAAAATATAATTTTTGGATCTAATTTTTTAATTTTAATTCCTCTTTTTTAATTAAATAAAATGTCAGTATATTTTAAATAATTTTTTATTTTCAATTTGTAAAAAGTAATGTTGAATATAAAATAAAGATGCTCTCATTCCGTTCGTCATATAACTAAACGACGGAAGAGAAGCCTTATCATTGTTTTTAATTTTTATATGCGCCAACGAGGCAAATTTATATTTTTAGTGTGTTTAAGAGGGGAAAAATTGAAAGCATACAATGCACTGAACATTACACATGGTCCCGGGTACAAGCTATGCACTAAATGGCAGCAAAAGAATCCAGCGATTATTTTTGTTTGATTTTCTGATTGATGTGAAGAAAAAGCAGCTGTTGAGTGAGTTCCATGTGTATGCGGCAAACGAAAGAGAAAGAAATCTAAATACTCTATTTATAATTCAAATGGAAATTCCCTTTGCTTTCTGCAAATGGAAGAGATAGACATAAAGGAGTAAAACCCATAGGAGTTCGGATTTTTATTTGAAGAATGTTTTTATTTCACACAGTTAATTTAATTACTAATCACAGTGCAAGGGTATTTAGCTATATTTATTCACAATGTTAATTTCATCAAATGGTAGAAAAAGAGAAAAAAAAAGAGAGAAGAATTTGAGTTGCAGCTGTATAAACAATTTGGACACGACATCTCTGTTTTATACACAGTCAAAATAAAATAAAATTTATTATAAAAATAAAATATTTTTCACAAGCAAATAAGAATTTTCAAGACTATTTTTTTAATTCAATAGATTGAACGTGTGACATATCTATTTAATTTAGACAAAATTTAAGCGTATTTTTTAAAATATTTTTAATATTATTTTTAATTAAAAATAGTTTTAATTTTAATTAAAAAATAATATAAAATCATCTAAAAACTGTACTTAGTTTTTCAAAAGATGTTTTCCCAGGATAATAAATAACATTAAAAAAAAAAAAGAACGTTAACGTATTCGTTTAACAAAACATGCGTAAAAATATTTTGTAGAGATGAGAGGAGAATAATGTGAATAGCAGTATATTTTTTATTTAATTGAAGGGAAAAGTAAAAACGAAATTTGATTTTTTTAAAATAAAATGTGTTTTTTTTTTTTTTTTCTATTTCCTCCCTCCAAACATAGGAATATTTGACATGTCATGTATGGAACGAAAATTCAATGGAAGTTTCGAACGTTGATTTATCGAAACACAATCACGTCGTTTTTATTATTATTTTCTTTTCTAGAAGTTGAATGTTTTTTAAAAGAGAGAATGCGATGGTGAATCGTGATATAGAATTGAACTGAGGAGGGGCGGAGTCGCCATGTATGACCACAGCAAAAGACTGTTTAAACTCCTAACAAATTAAAAATATAAAATAAACTTTTTAAAATCAATCTTTTCATTCCTGTTATTTCTCTGTTTCTTCTCTTTTCAAGCTGTTTGGCTAAAATGTATCTGAGCTGTACAGAGCAGTAAGTTTTCATCGCACAACGATCTCACACTCTTTCTTCCTTTTTTCCTTAGCCTCATCAGCTTAAGAAAAAGGCTGCGTAAGTTGAAGCCTTAGAACTATTTCTTCCTCTGCTGCAAAATCAGGTCACTTCTCATTTTCATTTTTCTCTCGTCAACTTTTCTCTTTCTATAACTTTTAGGGTTTCGAAACGATTTTTAGTTCAGAAGATCACTTGCTCGTTTTGTTCTGCTTGTTAGGCAAGTGTTTCGCTCTCAGATCTGCTGTTTTTGCATTATTGCTTGATTTGCTGCTTTTTACACTTTTCTCTCGGTTGTGAAAATTGTTGCATAAGGAATGGAATGTTCTAGATTTTTCTAAAAAAGAAAGAGAACATTCTAGACGCATTATGTGGTAGTGGACGCGGATGATCATGGTCTTGGATGAAAGCATGAGAAGTTTAGTTCATTTCTGTGTAGCTTTTGGAGGAATCTGATTTTGTTGAATTGTATTTTGTTAACTGTTGTGAGTCATTGACTTGTTATATTATATGCTGTGGTGTGTGTTACAGAATTTAAGATGGCAAGTCGACTAAAGGAAGATGAGAAAAATGAACGAATAATTCGAGGACTTCTCAAGCTCACACCAAATCGAAGATGTATTAACTGTAACAGCCTGGTAGGATTTTTCCCCCTGTTTCTATCTCGTCATCATGTTCTGAAGTTAACGAATCGAGGTATTGTTAGGTGCTTTTCGAGCAAGTGAAATCTCTTACTTTGTAACTTTAATGTATACTACATCAGTTTGTAAAATTAAAATTGTATTTAAGATGAGAGACATTGATGTGATATACATTCAATGGTAATGATTTTTCTTACTCTGCAAGCACCTAAGAATTTTGCTGTGGAGTTATAGTGTGAATGTGCGCGCACGCACTTGTGTGAAATTGGCTGCATTGCCCCAAGGTTGTTAGTGTTAGATTCGACTGGACTCTGTAATCGTGTGAAAACTTTAAGTAGACTGCTACTTAGTCAAAATAAAAAGGTCAGACAGAAGAAATTAATTGCAGCTAGTATGCTTGTTTAATTGTAGTGCAGGTGTCACGGGGGAGAAAACATGATAGCAAAAAGAAAAATCTTTTTGCTTTTGGATGAATGTCCATTTGAGGTGCAGTGAATGGATAAACGAACATTGCAGTTTCTTTCCTTGTTATATTTGAATATGCTACATGGAGGAGTCTTTTATTTAAATTTCTATGATTGGAAATTATAAGAGTTAGATATTGCAATCTTTATGAGTGAGGGTTTACTTGATTAATAATATTTTGATTTTTAGAGTTTTATTTATTAAACAAGGAATTTGTGTCAAGTAATTTACAAACTTGTTCTGCCATAGTCTTGATTTATATTGACTAAAAAGTACAGACAAGTTTTTACAAATGTGTGTTATGACAGTTTTGGGAAAAAAAAAAGTGCTCAGATTTTCTTTGATGTTATGGTTGTAGACCATTGAATTGCTGGGATAATAACAATATGCTGTACCTATCAAGTAGTGTGTTGAGATTCCTGTACATTTAGAGCAATTCACAGTTTGATTGAAGAGCCAGTAATTTCTACTGACTTTTATAGTGTTGTTCTGATTGTATATTTCGGAATCTGGCAGGAAATTGTTGAATTTGATGTAGAGATTTGAGGCAAGCCTGTTTCATTAAATCCTTTTTTTTTTCTCTCTCTTTTAGGGACCACAATATGTGTGCACAAATTTTTGGACGTTTGTTTGCACTAACTGTAGTGGATTACAGTAAGTACTTACAATCTTTTTGCTTACAATATTGTAAAACAATGTTTTTGCTTTGAGGATTGTTTAATCTACTCCACTAGGAATGAAACTTGAAATCTCTGTTTACTGAATGTATTTTCTTGTACTTGCTGCATTCTTGTAATGTTGTTTTTGATGGATTGGTGTTCAAACTGTAATTTGTTTAAATAGTCTGTTGTAGTAGATAATAGCATCACGGTTACCTTTCTTCTAAACTGCCTTTTGTTTTAAATTCCAGTCGAGAATTTACACATCGGGTAAAATCAATTTCAATGGCTAAATTTACTGCACAAGAAGTCAGTGCACTTCAAGAAGGAGGAAATCAGGTATGAATGTTTTTTTTTTGGGTGCTAAAGCATGCTCGAGATATCTTCAGTCACACTCATGTTACATATTTCTTATGTTTATTTTCATTTATTCCAATATTTGTAGTGTGCAAAAGAAATCTATTTTAAAGAATGGGATCCACAACGTCATTCTTTGCCTGATAGCAGGTAAGCATTTGCTTGTGAGCTTTGTGTATAATTGCAAGGTGCTTTATTGTGATTAGTATATCTGGTGCCAGCAATATTGACAGGCTCCGAGATTTTATTAAGCATGTTTATGTGGATAGAAGATTCACTGGTGAGAGGACCTATGACAAACCTCCTAGAGTAAAGGTGGTAAAGTGTCTTTTTGCTTCTTTGGATCCACTGTTTAAGCTGATACCAAGTAGTGTATCACAAGTTCAGTTTTAACCTATGAAGCACTGATACATGACACGAGTTGGAGGACATGCTGAATGTTCAAAATCGTAGGGCACAGCATCAGCATATACATAGACACACATAATATGAGCTTCAACATTTACAATATTGATATGGTTATATTTGCCAAAACTTGGAGGAAATGAAATTGGTACCAGACAAAATCAATGCTATCTTAATCTTATTTTCCTTTTTTGTTTTTAAAATTTGCCTAGAAATTTAAAATAGGCTCAACCTCTTTTTAGTAATAAATAATAGTCCAGTGCTGCCATGTTGGAGCTGAAAAATTAATTTTTTGGATTAGACACGTCGTCAGTATGTGTGGGATACATGTTCGCGCTTTATAAATTTAACTAGTACACTACTGGTTTTGCTAATTGCTTAAATGTATCAGCTAAATCTAATTCTCTTTTCTATTGATGCTTGTTATACAGGGTGAAAAAGATGATTTCTTTGAAAACAAGAGGATGGAGACATATCTGGGAGGACCTAAAAGCCCTCCATATGAGGACACATATGAACGTCGTTACAGTGACAGTTCTAGTCCCGGTGGAAGAAGTCCTGGATATGATCAAGAAAATAGGCAATATGGTGATCACAAGAGAAGCCCTGGTCGACCTGCAATAATAAATGATTGGCGTCGTGAAGATAGATTTGAGGATGGACGGAAGTTTGAAGATCATAGAAAAACCAATGGAGATAATAAGGTGGAAAGCCAATCTCCTGAGCAAACCAAAGATCCGGATTCTTCCAGCTCACCTGTGATCCGACCTGTTAGAGATATCTTGGGAGAAAGTGTAGTGCCTCTTCGAATCAGTGAACCCCCCAAAACAAACAGTGGACAGGCTGCTAATGGCTCAGCACTCACACAGGTAAGTGATTATCGATGATGTTCCATATTCTTCAATCACCTATGTTAGGAGTTAGGGGAATTAGTTGGGATAGTTATAATAATAGTTGGTAGAAGGGGTGGGTTAGTTAGTTTGAGGGGGGTTGTGAGGTAAATAAATAGAATGTATGGGAAGGGGATTCAGATCCTTTGTCATTTTGTAAATAGAGCAGTTGCATAGGTTACAAATGACACTGATCTGAATCCCCTTCCCTTATATCCCTCCCCCTATTTATTTACCTCACAAACCCAAAAATCTGGGTTGTGATGCTACTTGATTGGTCTTTCCTTTGGTGTTACTTCAATGTTTACCAGTGGATTTGCCTTGCATTTCTGTAATTGGGATTGAAAATTTTGCAAATAGCCAACAAGCTATTGGCATCTCCCTTAAGTCTTTTAACTTGGGTGTGATGTTGTTGGAGGTTCAATCCGCCACTATACCACCTTTTCCCCTTTCCCTACCAAGGTGCAAGCACCTCTAATGTAATTGAAATAATAGAATGTGTCCAAAGTAACTGAAAAAAGAGTTTAGCAAATATGTTTTCACTGACTTCTTATGGTTTACAGAGAAAAGAGAAAATGAATACGCAAAAAGTCCAAACAGTATGAGATTAAATTGCCTTAATGTGTTTAATATACAAAGCACTTATATCCTGTACCAGTGTAGTTCTACTAATAAAAACCAAGCCCACTGATTCATTATGACTAATGTGTTCTAAATTTACTCAGTTTTCTTGTTTTGGACACTTTTTCCTGGGGTTTACAAAAGGAGGTCTAGAACAGTGTCATTGGTGTGGGTAGAGGAAGCTAAAGTGGTTGAAAAACAGCCTGATTAGATTTAAATCTGGTTTCAAGTAGCCCCCAAAGGGATTGGTGCTACTCCAGCTGTGCCTCATGTCTTGAGCTGGTGAATTTATTTTCTTGTAAGTATCAGATTATCAAAGGAAGGCGGCAATTAGCACAAACATCAACATGTTTATTCGTAGTCCTCTTATTAATCTATCTATGTGATGTGGCTCAGTCTTTACTTTCTTTACCATGAATTTTTTTTTAAGACGACCTCTCCCTTCCCTCTTCCCGTTTTGCTTTGTAAGTTTCCCAAAATTGATTTCTACAAAAAAATATATTCTCATTAGTTATAACTGACTATTGTAATTGCAGAGACCTGCATCTTCCAGTTGTTTGGCATCCAGCAATGGAACCCCAGCAAAAGTTAAGATTGAGACTATGAAGAGCCTTATTGATTTTGATGATGATCCTGAACCACCTTTTGCTCCTGCTATTCCTCAAGCCCAGCAAACTACTGTGGCTCAACTTGGGATGCCTGCAAATGCCAGTGATAATAATTGGGCCTCTTTTGATGTTTCTCCTGAGGCAAAAGCATCTCAAGGTCCTTCAAATGTAAATCCACTTGAATCTATGCTGTCTCAGTTGTCAGTACCAGCATCTTTATCTGCTCAAGTTCAAGTTTCTGGAGCCCAAGGTGATCCCCATCTTGCAGCAGCTATTCCTGGGAGCATTGTGACAACATTGTTTAGAGTCAATGACTAATCTATTTCACCTGCAGGATCTGTGACTGGATCAGCTCTTACTTCTGCTGCTGGAGCTCCAATTGTTAACAGCTTCTCGACATTCCCTATCAGTGGTGCTTCAGTAACATCTTCTGGATTGACAACAGCATCATCCCTCAATAGTGATGGACAGTGGGCTAGTTTGCAGTATCAGCAACAACCTCCTTTGTTCCCTGCTGCAGCTAGTCAGCCTACTATACGACAATCTACACCACCAGTAGGTGGAGCTTTGAATAATCAGGTTTGTCTTATAGAGTAATTGTCTCATTTTCTGTCTATAATTCAGATTTGATATTTGTTCACCCTTTCCTGGATTATTGCAGCCCTGGACTATACCTTCCGTACCATTTGTACAGGGACATCCAAGCACATCAATGCCTCAAGCATCACACCTTGTTTTACAACCTTCTTCAGTGGACATAAAACGTGGTGGAAGAAGTGAACTTCCTGAGGTGTTCTTGACTCCATATTTTACTTAATAAAACATCTATATTGTGCACATGATTGTGTGTCTATTGTTTATCTCAAAAGTTAGTTCTGATTTCTGCAGGATCTATTCACTGTGAAATATTCATCCTTTCCTGCTCCAGTCCCAGGTTGGCAAATGGGTCCACCACCTAGCATGGGTATCTCAATTCAATATAATAACATGGTGGTACTGTTACAATCCAAACTATTACTTACACTTTATCTTAATCGGTGACTACTGGCTTATACAATAGTAAGATGCATATCTCATAAATTTCTTCCCATTGTTACAGCCCAAGCCAAGTTTTCCACAACCATCAAAATCAACAAATCCATTTGATGTCAACAATGAATCGACTCCAGTGCAAGCCCCAACTGTATGTGACTTTCATTGATATAGTAGTGTGCTGTATTTCGCATGATAGTTTGTGTAGATCATATTGAGTATTGTATCAAGCTGTTTGTTTATTATTTAATATTATTGACTGGGGATTTGGCTCCTTTAAAGTGCATGATGTGCTTGGTAGAGGAAATTCCTGTTTATACAGCCATTGGTGGAAGATAACAGTGAAGTTGGCTGTTGTCCACTATTGAGTTATTGATTCATAATTTATTTTTTTCATCATTAATAACTTAAGTCGTGTGCATTACTTCTGAAGGCATTTTTCTTAGAGGAGCTTTATAAATGCTGGAAAATATTGTCTGTTTTCTTTTTCCAATCATCGTGCTTTAAAAAAGCTGGAACATTGTAGTATGATGTGCTGATTTTCTAGTATGTTAATTCACGGGTGAATTCAAACTTACTATAACTGCGGTATGTGATAAGAAAATAGATAATAGCATAAACTTCTCAGTGTATCATCAGTTAGTTGCATATTTGGTGATGTTTTATGGTTGGTGTTCGTTGGTTGCAGTTTCCTTCCATGTCATTGTTACAAGGTGCTCTGCCTAGTGTAACTCCTTCAGCAACAATGCACCCTTCAAACATGGGTAATCCACCCTCATCATCATCATCATATGTATCAGGGTTGCCTCCTCAAGCACACACTCTTGCACCAGGTATATACTTGTTATCTTTCCTCAGTCAATTATGTTATGCCAAGGCAATTTTCCTCTTTATATGTATCTTAAACGATGTTGTAAAATTCTCAGGGGCATACATGGGGCAACAAATGCCAACTAACATGCCAATGCCAAGGTAACTGTTCTTTAGTCTTGATAGTGTTTACTATTTGCATATGCTGTTTAGGTTATGGTTTTTCTTTGGTCTTGGAAATTCATCTTTTGGTTCCGCTCATTCATTTAATCTCCCATGTTTGGAATAATAAACTGAACCCTGTATTCATTAATTAACTTTCAAATTTTAGCATCTAATTCCATAGGTTCACCAGCTATTGTTCCTTGTATGGGCTTCTATTAGATGTGATTACTGAGAACTGTCTATGTATTCTGCAAGGGCCTTTAATTGTGCTAGTATGGATAGGGTCGATAATCATTGGTTGTGGTCTACCTTACTTTGCTTGCCACTTACGATTGACACTGAATATATAGGCATCAAGTAATTGGGAGTTTTGCTACTGAGGGAGCTACTTTTGGCTTCTCAAATCCAGATCAGCAGCCGACTGGTAGGTTGTCAGCCCCTGCTACCCCAAACCCCTTCCCTGCAGGAGGGAACCCATTCGGGTGATCTAAAGTTTTTATCTGCTCGGACTCTGAGTCATGCATCAATTTGTTGCACTCTGTACAAATATTGTTGTTGTTGTTCATGTCGTTTGTCAGTCAAAGTGAAACACGCTAGCATATTGAGAGATTTATGACCTGTCACCTCTCACCCGTGGGTTCAAATTCAAATATTTGTACCTGGGCTTGTAAATTGTTTATTGCTACAGGAAACATGAAGGCAAAATCTGCCTACAAAAAGGAGGGGTCTTTACTGAGATAATGACTTAACGAATATGAAAAAGAGGAAGAGGGGGTTACAGTGACTTTCGTAGAGAATAAATATTTTTTTTGGTGCGGCCATGTGTTACAATTTTAGCTACGATTGTATTAATTTTTATTTGGTGTTTTAATTTGGTGCCCCTAGTTGTATTAATTTTTTCAGATTTCCCTGTATTTTATTATTTTGTAATATCAATTTTTTTTTAAGTTATTTCTATTCGTTGAAGTCCATGAATTCTCTGTCAAATAATTAAGTTTGAGTTCTACGTCGCAATCTGCTTGAGATTATTATGACTGGTTGATTTTTTTCTTTCACATCATACCGCATGTTTATCCAACAGAGGGACAAGCTTACCGTAAATTATTTAAATTTAACATGATTAAGCATTAATATTTTAATTAATCCTTCGAACATGTCTTAGTGAGTGAAATCAGTTACCATGGATTCATTAAAACGAAAAAACTTAAACTACACTTTTAATTTTTATGTGTAATTTTAGTCTTTTTTATTTTATTGTTTGTATTTAGTTGTTTTAATTTTTAATTATTTAAATTTAATTTTTCTTCAAAATTTTATATAATGATTAATAAAAATATAAAGTTGAAACTAGTTTTGGTTACTTGCACCAGAACTCCACCATTGAGATTTGAGACTAATAGCTCGGAAAATGATGAATGAAAAATATAATTAGCATATATTGAATTATTTTAAATTACATCACGCTCCCTCAGTGACACATGTACAAGTAAAAAGGTATACTTTTAATCCCTTGGGCAGAGTGAAAGGATTGTATATATATCTTCATGAGGTAGTAGAACAGATCCAACCAGTATACGTGCATTTAGTGCCAGATCCTATGCGTCCAGTATGCATCGAAGAAGAATCGTTTCCTCAGCAAGAGAATTTCCTGGATGCTGCAATTGCAATTCTTTCTCCTCCTATCTGCAAAGCCGGAGGAGTCCACTACATGCGCAAATTGAGATATGGGACTATCTGAAGATCTTAATCCTCAAAAATTATCAAAAATAGAATGGTTTGTCTCGGACTTTCTCAAGTAGAATTGGTATGTCTGCTCTTCCATATGATTGGAGCTATCAGAATCCATACTGTCAAAAGATATAAACTTGATTTAGTTGCGCCTCAATTGTTCAAGAATTAACGGCAAGAGTAACTAAACTTATCTTTGAGTTAAAAAATGAGCTTTTATTATGCTCGGATAAAATTCAGATCTGAATGCGAATTGGTTTTACTACAAATACTTACAATATACACAGACTGCCAACCATTCATTTACTATTCTGACCCAGGTGCTGGTCCAGCCCACGTCGATTGTCCATCTGCAGAAGAATAAAGGTATTCTGTCTTGTGAACTTGCAACATTTATGAGTGCACTGAAAGAAAGTCGATCAATTTTAGATGAATCTGCTATTTAACACTAAAAGAGAAACTGGAGAAAAAATTATTTCATTTACAACGTATTCGAGGTGACACTGCTGAGTGCTGATTATTATATTACCCGATTAGTTCCTCTAAAGTGATTGGGGTATACTATAGAGGATTTAGAGAATATAGTTATTACCATTGTATAAAAAATCAATGGTTGAGATATTAACAATTTCATAATTAGTTATACATGTGTATGTTGTTTATCAAAATTTTAAGTCTCAACCATTGATTTTCTAATCAACAGTTACAACAACCTCTAAAGCTCACGTTCTCACTTTAAAAGATCCAAATCATAGAAACTTTCGGTAGTGTTGTGCAAATAAGACCCCTCTTAAACTTAATGGGGACCACATTTATTGGGTTCTGATCTTGGTTTGTATATGATCATTTGCCGAATAACAGCTGAAAATGCATTTCCTTTGTTTGCCCGACAATTTGTTCTCTAAAAGCAAAACAAGAACCCCAGTAGGATGCAGATAACATGATATGGGCCAAAAGCAGAAGAGGAGACCATACTTTCTCATAGAATGATGACTATTCCATCCAATCAATAGCATAGCAAAGTACATTGTTCCCGTGGCAAAAACAAAATGGAAGAAACCATAACCATAGGGTACATCATCCTCTTCTGGCGTATCATCCTGCATGACCTGCAGGGAGCTGTCAGATATGTATTGAGAACATAACATTAAAATTCAAGTTGACTTCAGAGTTTGTAACTAACCTGGAAGCATTTGGAGTCTATGCCTGTTGAAAACGTCGCAATAACAATTGCCAGTATTGCAACAACAAAGCTCTGCCAACAAGAGCCACTATCATAAGTCAAACAATAATGAAAAGATCAATTAGGATTATGTATTTCAAATATTCAAATACTAATTACCAAGCCATCATAAAGATGACGATGATATTTACAACCAAAAGGCGAAGATAAAGATTTTCATAATAGACAAAGAAACATTGAATTATATTTTCTGGGAAGAGTTTCAGTTTTTCCTGCGACTGGTTAAATAGATACATGTACATGAAAATATACTGAGCCACTGACACAGGCTCTGCTACACAATAGACAATAGACATATATTTGTAAGTTTAGTTTAAAGAAATGTACTGTTCAAATTTCAGTTAAGCAAGAATAGATATATATTACAATGATGCTTAGCCAGTCTGTTTTGGTTGCAGAGTCTGACTTCCTGATGCAGTTTTCTCCATCAGGTTCACTGCATACGCAAACAATCAAGCTCAAATTCAATAGAAACGAAAACGGGAAGTTAAAAGGGGTTGCATAAGCAATAAATGAATAGAAAAGCAGAAGATGCAGATTTTTTTGGGATCTTTTTACTCCCATGCTTTCTTTGGGAGATAATATACACTAAACGGCAGAAGCTAAATGCATTGGACAACAACATCGACACTAATCCAAATCTATCAGGCGAAGATTGTTAGCCCTGCCTTCTAATAGCGCACCAGCAAAGGTAGACAACATAAAGCCCCATCAGCCCCGGAGTTAGAATGCCAGGATTATTAACCTATTGCAGATGAAGTTAGAAAATCCACATCATGTTATGTTGTATGATGAAGTGAATTGCGCAAGCAAAGAGTTGGACATAAATAAAACTTACTTTTGGGTGCAGAGACACGCTTGTCATAAGTTGGAGAAGTACTAGCGTCCATGTAATGAAGAAAATGTTGAGGAGGCAAGATGGCTTTGGTGCATACCAAATGTACATCAAAATGACCCCCACCAAACAGACAACGTATGCAGTCGTTGCAAACAACATCACATGGATTTTGCTGCATGAGAATTGATTATTAATGCAAGCATTTACAAGATAGGAATCTTATCCCTGATATTATTCTAAAAAATTTGATGTTTGAGCCTATCAGAGTCAGAGAATTACAAGTGGAATAGGGGTAAAATGCACAAGAAGCATAATTTTAGGTTTGTGTGCCCCACTGCTGGCTACACAAGGGAGCTTGATGTTTAATTGCTAAGATAAGCTTGAATAACCTCGATCAGACAATTACTCTTGAGTATTCTAGAATTTTGAGTACATTTAATGTTAATAGAATGTAATTTAGATTCAGAAAATTCATTTTTTCCCTCCTTTCATCTTTATATCAGCACAATAATCAATTATTCGATATCCAAAATCAATGAGCATGCCTTGCTAAAACGTTAAATAAATAAATAAATAATTATCCAAATTATATAGCTACAAGTATCACAAGCAAATTGTTCATTATCGGGAAGCATGTGTTTCTATAACCGTTCTCTAACAAATAAAATCTTACCAACTTGCTGCATATTTTTCAGACTAACAAATAAAATCTTACCAACTTGCTGCATATTTTTCAGACTCACAACAATCATTCAGCCATGTAATGAAGCTGATTATGCTTATCAGTTGAATTAGGAGGAAAACTCTGAAAAAGAAGTAGAGTAACACTTTAAACATTCACATATTAGTTAGAAAGAATGGAATGACTAAATTATTTAGAAGGGGTAAAAACTGTACCCTGCACCAAAATGAGCCACCTCCCCTGCCAAAAGGATTGTATCAGAGGAATGACAAGTTTTTAATATCTACGAGGATGCATTAATATTAGGAGGCTGGTTGAAATATACAAATTTACTAACCATAAATCTGAATAAAGCCAGACGGGAGTAAAAATGGGATGATCGTCATGACGACCCAGAGAGCAATCTTGACTGACCACCATCCAGAGTGCCATTTATCTCTCACATTGTTCAGTTTAGAAGTGCGAGCAGTTGACAAAAACATTATGATATAAAATATCTGAACTAGGATTAAGGTTTACTTTAGATATTATATGATTAGGCCATTGACCTTAGTGACTTAGCTATGATATAAAACTTTCATAAATTCAAAAAAAATTATTTTATTTCTTCCAGCCAGCATAAGAACATAAATTACTGATTAATTAAATGCTGCCTAATGCGATCTTTTCTACAAATCTTATACAAAGCTTTTACCAACTATTTTCATGCATATAATTGAAATGGATACAAAGCAACCCAAGCTCACACGCAAAACACCTTCGGCACCCAAACAGTCTTTTCCACCATTGCATCCTTTCAATCCTGTAGGTTCAATATATTAGATTTTAAGATAATGTCGGCGTTAGATTAGAAAGAGCATGATCTCAATCATCTCATATGTGCAAGTGAGGTGTACCCATGAATTTCTATAGACTGAATTGAATGATTTGCTGACATTGAAAAGGTTCAACTTATTAAAATAGACGGATATACAAATCTTTCTCTTGTTCAGAATTGATAAATTAAATGCTTGCTTATTCCACTTTGGGCATCAAACAATTTCAAAATGAATGCATACCAATAAGTACATTGTTAATTTTTTTAATATTTTTCAAATATCTAATCAATGTTTATAAAATAATGCATGCATTCAGATGAGACATCAAATTTGCAGGTTAAGATAGTGAACCTTCAGGGAAGAAATTGGCAGTGTTCAGAAGAATCAAGAAAACTATTTCAATTTATAAAAAATAACAAACGAAATGTTTAAGCATAAGAACTGGATCTGAAAGAGGCATCAGGAAACTAAGTATTATGAGGATGGAAAGTTCATCACTTTAAGGATTTAAGAAATCTTACTCTCCATTTCTGTTAAAGCACCACGACCAAAATCCCGTGCAGCCCATGCCAAAAGGTTCGCCACAAGAAAAATCAAGGCATAAGCATATCTAGCCATCCAAGGATTAGATGCATTGCGGAATTGACTGCACCATGAAGAATCGTTGGATATGATACACCTCTCGTTACTAGCGTTACTTTCCCCAGCTTCCATCTCTTGTTCTACACAACAGAGCTACGCAGCATGAATGGAGCACAGAAGAAATGGGTGTCATTCCATTATTCTATTTGATTTCCCTGTACACATTATTCAGAAAAAGACTCATCTTTGTCATGGGATCTTCATTACCGTTAGCTAAGCATTAAATGAAATAAAAGAACAACAAATCTTGAGGAGGTTTAGACCGCTTTCTAGGTCAAATTTAACTTATGGTTTTGTCTTCACGTAACTGTAGAATAGTTGTTTAACTTTTTTTTCATTTGATAGTGAACACTGATAGTCATTTCACTTGCCCTGCCTGTCTTGCCTTTTGTTGGCCAAACATTCCTTGTCAGTAGAATAAATTCTAATTCCGACAGTTTAAGTGGTACGTCAAAAGTCTTAGCCACTATTTCTCACTTCTTTACCTTCAATAGTAAAATGGTCAACCGTAGATAACTATACTTTAATCAAACATTTGCATAAATCATAAATGGACTAGGAAGGAGACTAAGTAAAAACGCATCAACGCCACGGTCTGAAGTTACAACTTAGAACCGAGTTCACAGTCCCAATTATTATCTCTATGAAAATACATTATGATCGTATTTCCTATAAAAAATTATATCCATTTCTTTTTATCGGGAAAAAAATTGAAAATGAACTCTGTTTTAAAAACGAGAAACATGTATCAATATTTCAACAGTTAATATAACTTACTAACTAATTTTCATATCATTTATCACTTCAATAGCCAATAGGTAATAAAAAAAAAACAAGGCAAGATCTGGATGAGAAAACAAATGACAACCTGTATTTTATTTTATGTACAGATATTTAAAAAAAAAAGCAGAACTCAGGAGTGTTTGTTTTTTTTTATTTAAAAGAACTTTTTGTTTTTAAAAATAAAAAACTTTTTTAAAACAGGAATCAAGCATTTTTTTTTTACATTTTTTTTTTCAATTATTTGAAGCAGTGGAGTTCTTCGTTTTCCTTTACTTCGAAGCAAGCGTCCCAACTCTGCCTAATTTTCTTTCCTAATTTTCTGGGCAAAAAAACATCAAAACCGTTGATAATGCATACGCATTCAGCAATTTTATCCCGAAACGAAATGCATACGAACTATACGAGATGGAACATCATAGAAAACGAACATCAACGAGATGAACACATGATCCAGCAGAAACACAGCCAAAAATCAAAGGTAGAAATAGAGTTCTTAATTCTTCAAGTACTGAGAAACGAGAATAACGTGATGGAAAAGCGAAGAATCTACGGAATGGAGAAATGCAAATGCAAGTACCTGATAGAGATGAAGGTGAAAGCAACTGCGAAAAAGACGCGCAGATCTAGTTAGCGAACACTGAATCACTATTTCTAAGAAAGACTGATTTGCATTCTGTTTAGTTTTGCAGTCTCTCGAGAAAAATAAAACTAGAAGAAAAAAGAAAGGGATTATTGGGAGTTTGCTTTGCTTTTGGCTCTTTTAATTAAAAATTGTTTAAAATGAAAGAGAATGCTTTTGTTGGGTGTTTTAGTTTGCTTCTCTCCGCTTTTTCTTATTTTTTTTTCCCGCGTTAAGCTTCTTATAGTTTCTTTCTGCGCCAGATTAGTGTTCTTTTCAAAGCATTCTTAGTTTTTTTATTCCTCAATCACACTATGTTATATAATAGATAATATTTTTATATGGAAAAAAAAAATGTATATAATAATGTTTTCTTACTTTATAGTTTTAATAAATGGATAGCATAATACTTTTTTAAAAAAATTAAAATATAAATATTTATTTCTTAAGAAAATCATCAATATTAAAAAAAAAAATTTAATATTTTAAAATGAAAATATATTTAATATTTTCAAATAAATTGTTTTATTCATTAACAGTTTAACGTGTTTCCAATTTTGAAATGATTATCATTTAAAGTTCTGTTTACAAAAAGGTTATAAGAAAATTTTAATTCAAAAAACATTAATTTCATTGATTATATCATCTTTTACCTCATTAATAATTTTTTTTTCCATTTAATGGATGGATTAAAAGAGAAAGTGACATGAGAAAATAATAATTAATATATTTTTAAATATAATCTCTAATATCATTAATATATTAAATCGTTCTATATCTTTTAATTTAATAAAAACTTATTATAAATAAATTTTTATCGTGTGTTTTTATACGTAATTTTAAAAAATTAATTAAAAGTTAGTTCACAATATTTTAACATGATAAATTTATAGTTTATAACATTTTAATTGTTTTTTATTTTTTAAAATTTTATAGCCAAGTCCTCATAAAGTCAATACTGTTAAGTTTTCATTAAAAAGAATTAATTTAATGGAGGTTTTTAGTCTATTTTCATTGAAAGCATCGAATGTTGTGAAACCTGGATACAGATCTTGTAGACACATTTTCAATACAGTGAAGAGGTTGATCTTTGAACAGCGTTCCCTTGTCAAATGGGAGATAGTAATAGAGAGCAAAGTTAAGCACGCTGATTAAGTACAGTGAATACCTCCGCATGATTTTTGTTCAAGCCCTTGTTTAAAATTTTAGGTCTTTGACAAAATTTACTCTAATTTTTTATATAATTTTTATTTTGTTATTTTATTTAAAATTAGGACCTTAAATAATCTCATTGGCTTTTTTTTTTATGTTCAAACGTCTCGTTGGTTTTACTATATTTTTATCTTATATTTTTTTAATTTTAATTATAATTCTTCAATTTTGTTTAGTCTCAAGTCTTTTAAAATTTAGTATTTTTAAGTCTCTAATGATAAAGTGACTAGATAAAAGGATGTCATGTGTGAATTCTTTGTTAACACGTATTTCTAGAGTTTAGAAATATTAAAATTTAAAAAATTATAAATTAGAAATTAAAATTAAAATATTATAATAATATAAAACTAAAAATATTTTTAAATCGTATTAAAATTAAATAAAATTAATTTTAATTATTTACATTTGATTGTGATAAAATTTTGTTACTATTAATTTATACTTAATATATTGTTTTCACGAATAATTAAGCATACTTGTCGCTTTTTTTTTAATTTAAACATTTTTAGTTGTTTTTCTTTTAATTTATACTTTTTATTTAAAGTTGAGTCTCCAGAATTAAATTACTGGTGAGAGGATTTCAAACTTCATTACTACAATTATACGAAAAAAATAATTTCTCATGTGCACATGACACTTATCTTAATTTTGAGTTGTTTATAAAATATATTTTGACCGCTTCACAATATTTTTCTTTTAGAATTCAACTTATTTGATGGATGTGAATAGATAATATAATAAAAAAAAGCTTTTTTTACTATATTGTTTTTTTTTTCTTTTTATCTAGATAAGACAAGTTTATCCAATAAATTTATCATATCTCGCTATTTAGTAATTTTATAAATTTTATTTCAACAAAAGACTTACATCAGAAATAAACAAGACACGATAACGTTAATGTGTCTAATTTATTAATTTTATATAAATTAAACATAACATGAGATTAATAATTTATCCTACTCTTTTATTATTATTGTTATTCAACTACTATCTCTTATTACATTTTTTGTCTTATCATAACCAAAAGTTCGATTCTCTTCCCTCCTTGTTATTTAAAATTTTGAGTAAGTGATATATTGAATTTAGAAAAATGTTAAAATTAATGCTTAGAGTTTATTTTAAGTATTTAAACGCGATAAAATTTTAATTAAAAGGTAAGTATTTATCACATAAAAAATATAGAAGTATAGTTAGCTTTTTTATGATAAAAATTTATTATTTTGTATGTTTAAAAGTAATCTTAAAAAATTATTATTCTGTGACATACATGAAAATCAAACACTTTAAGCGCTCCTTGCCTGACTTGCCTTTTAGCTCGGCAATGACCAATGAGCACCGATCGAGTGTTAGGCATATATATACCTTACTACAAAAGTTAAATAAACAAATTACAGGTCTGGCAACTAATATTAAGCTAATTAAGTTAAAGAGCCCTCTTTTATATCACAATTTTCTTTTACAAAAAAGTATTTTGTTTAAATTAAAAATATTTACAATTTTAATAGTTACCTAAATGTAATGATTGTTATAGCATTTTGATAAGTATAATAATAATTATAAAGCAATCAGAGGAAACATATACAGGATGAAATCGAGCTGGTGATTGTCAGATACATAATCCATAATCATCTCTCAATATATATCAAGCCATTAAATGGGTGTAAAGGTAGAGTTTGATGCTTGTTTCACGCCTAAGTTAAGGTTGGTTTGCGTGTTTAATAATATGGTTTTGATACTTGGTTAAATAACCATAGTGGGCCCTCTATATGATTATCTGCACCATTGTTGTTTGCATGGTAGTAGAGATTTTTTCTTTTCTTTGTGCTGATATTATACATGAAAGAAAATAATTGGTTGATTTTATGTTTTTCAACTTAAAGATATCTTCAAACAAGTTGTTTCTGAACCGAAAGAACATAGCCCATTCTTTATTATAAAAACTTTTTATTTTTAAATTAAATTATAACATTATTTTATTTTACCTAAACACATTCTGTTTAAAAAAACATATTTAAAAACAAAAAACTTACAACTTCCCGAACATGGCCTAATTTTTTTCTTTTGGTCATTAGCCTAACTTTTTTCAGAATCATTCAAGAGATATTCTTGAAATTGTGTTTAAATGCTTACATGTTGCACCTAACTAGGAAACTACACCAGTTAGATTTGCTGTAACAAGATTTGTGAGTAGGTGGTGCCTATAGCTACACCGCAAATATTAAAAAAAGCGACTAAATTTAGAGTATCATGCATTTTTTTTTTGTACTTATTAAATTGTATTGTAAGGTTATTCAGCAAGACTAATTATATAATATGATAATTTTACATTCACAACTTATATAAATTGGATTCCTTAAAAAAATTAAACTCATTGTCGCATCAATATAAAAAAATATATGCATAAATATTGTTACCAAACTACGTAATATAATATCAACTTTGAAAATCGAAGGCAACGCTGGAAAGTTGTAAAACGTGGATACATGTTTCGGGTCGGGGAAATAAATAAATAAATTATATATATATATATATAATTGAAAATT